TTTTCCCTTGCATTCAAACTCACTTTCCTTTTCACACAGGGGTTGGGCTTTTCTCACATCCTAAGAGTTGGGACAAGAGAGGCAGGGGAGAGCAAAAGAGCAGGACAAACTGTACCCCCGCCCCGGTGCGGGGTCTCTAATTGGAGCAATAATTGATAATTATGCCAAATGTTGAACAGGCTCAGGAGAGAGAATTCTAGGGTGCTGAGGGGAGGAGGGGCGGCAGCGGGGAACTCAGCTTTTTTCTTCCACAACAAGACCCAGAGAACGTGTTCACTGTCACCTTAGGGGTGTGGAGTGTAGCTTACGTGCGAAGTAAAAGAGTTCTTTCTGCTGGCACTAAAGAGAGCATCATGTGTTTGTGAAGGCTGGGACTTCCCAGCTCCCCAAGCCGAAGCTCGGTTAAGCCGTCAGGTACATTCCCTGCAAATTAGCACCTTCAGTTCAAGCCTCCGCGTCTTTGTTGTGCAGTCGAGGTAATAATCACCCGTGCTGAGAAACAGGCACACTGGCTGGCGGGGACCTCTCCCCACACAAAGCCTTCTTTGGTTAAAAAAAAAAAAAAAAAAAAAAACATACAATAAAAAGGAAAACTGTTTAAGCTTAAAAACTAAAAAGAAGCAGTTGGCTCCAGTTGTTGGAATGTTTTAAAAAGCAACAGCAAGATGAAAAAAAATAAAAAATGAGAAATCAACGGCCCCAGAATGCTGAGAGGGCCCAAAATATTAATATACAGGAACATGGCAAACCCTCTGCAAGCTGTAAATATTGTCTCCATTTCCCAGGGATAATCAACAAGTGCAACCTTCTACTCCCTCTGCTCTCCCTTCAAACTTCCTGTTTGAAATCTACACTGCAGGGACTTCCCTGGTGGCGCAGTGGTTAAAATCCGCCTGCCAACGCAGGGGACACGGGTTTGAGCCCTGGTCCGGGAAGATCCCACGAGCCGTGGAGCAACTAAGCCCGTGTGCCACAACTACTGAGCCTGTGCTCTAGAGCCCACGAGCCACAACTACTGAGCCCACGTGCCACAACTACTGAAGCCCGCGCGCCTAGAGCCCATGGCCTGCAAAAAGAGAAGCCACCGCAAAGAGAGAAGCCCGCGCACAGCAACGGAGACCCAACGCAACCGTAAATCAATAAATCAATAAATTTAAATATATATATATATGCTGCAAAACACTTTTCCTAACAGCATTAGGTGAATAAATTGTGTCTGTCAGAGGTCCATGAATTTGTTTCGAATATAGGGAGAAGGGTTTGGCTCCCAGAACCAGGAAAGAAGGAGGGTATGTATAAAGCAAAGAAACACAGACACAACCAGAAGTAAAAAATCAAGAGAATTTCATATAAGTCAAATGTATTCATTTGCTGAGCACGATAGGTACACTGGTGAAGAAACTCACTGAGGTTAGGGTGGTCATGTAAACTACGGATGCCGAGCTATTTTTAATAAATACATAATTTCTTAGCATATAGTACAGTATGGGTATGCTCCATGAAATTCAAACTTATGTCCTGTATTTCTATATGCTAAATCTTGCAACCCTACTGATAGAAGCTTCCGGTGGTTATGCTAATTAAGGATTGATAATACGCACTCCGACCGGACAGTGAGTCCAGGCTCCGTTCATACTTAGATGCAAGTCCCGAGCCCATCGGTCAGGAAGGAGCCTTCAGGGAGGTCCGGGGAGCTGGTGTCTGGGGTCCCTGTGTGATCTCAATCCCCTCTCAGCTTCGGCTGCCCGGAGGCACAGCAAGTGTTGCTCCAAGGAGAAACTCTGCCTTCCACAGACATCACCTCAGGAAGCCCAGGCCCAGGCTTCTCCCCCAGCTGTCACTTGCTGAGCAGATTCGACCCTCACGGCTAAGCTTCAGCCACTCGGAAATCATCCAGAGAGAAGAGGACCCCTCACCGGTCAAGAGAGAGAGGAGAGCCGGGCTATCACGACTCTGCACCTTCCGCAGCGTCCTGCCCCTGGGAAGATGGAGCGGGCCTCTAAGACAGGAGCCTATGGTAAGATGCAGGGGGTGGCTTCGGGGTTTGGTTCAAATCCTTTCTCTTCCACCTGCTGTTTGAGGCAGCTTTCCCGTCTCTGACCTGGTCACGAGTGAACCCTTCCTCCACGAAGTTTGTGAATCTCCATGAAGTTAGAGGCTGAGGGAAGCGTCCAGCCAGGACCCGGTGAACGCTGCACCATGAGGGTGGGGCCCGGGGAGAACCCCAGGCCAGCGTAGCTCGGGTTCCTCTCTCACTTCTCAGGAAAGAAGGAATCTCGCCTTCCAGGCCAGTCTACCAGCCATCCACAGCCTCTTATTCAAAACTGACATCCTCAAGAAGTCAACCCCAGTTCCAACCAAAGCCCCATTTCCGTCTCCCTACACTGTCCCCCAAACCTTTGTGTCTTTGTGTCTTGGGCCAAGGACCCCTCCCAAGCCAAGGCTACCAAGGTGCTACTGCTTGGGTAACACTCGCCGTTCTTGGTGAGCGCCAGCCTTCCAGGCACCGTGTGGAGCCCTTTACATTTGCTCCTCACAGCCTGCTAAGATCCCTACAAGCTCATTTTACAGATGAGGAAACTGGGGCTCAGAGAGGTTAACCAGCTTGCCCACGGCCGCTGAGATGGTACACAGCAGAGCCAGAACTTGAGCCCACATCCAATCCCAAAGCCTGCGCACTTAACCATAATTCTCTACCCATTTCTCAACCTGGACCCATCCCCCAGGGTGCCTTGTGCAGATATTTCTGAGGAGAATGGGCAAGACTGGCAAACTCTTATTCAACCTTCAAAACCCCACTCACTCATCACCTCCTCTGCACTTTTCTCCCTCATCTGGGGTGCTCTTATCCTACTGTTATTTCATATATGAAGTTGCATTCGCATCTGCGTCCCTGCTTAACTGAACTCCTGAGAGAAGTCGTGCTTGCTTTCTCATTTCTGCACCCAGCCACACTTTGCAGGGAGCTCTCCAGCTGTACTGGCCTCCTTATTGGTCTTCAAACAGCCCAGGCTTGTTCTACCTCAGGACCTTTGCCCTGCACTTCCCTCCTCCATGGAAAACTCTTCTGACCCCTTTGCCTGGGTCCCTCCCTCTCCAGCTCTGTGCTCAGGCGTCCCCTCCTCAGAGAGGCCTTTCCTGGCCACCCACTTAGGATGGTCCCTTCCGTACCCCTTCACCTGACTCTATCACCTCCAGCCTGCTTCCCTGATGTAACTTCCTTGACAGCATGCATCTCTCCCTGGGGTTATGGTGCATTTGTTTATCTGTCTTCACTTGCTTCATTCTGTGTCTTCCCTCCAGACAAGTCAGCCCCAGGAGGGCAATGACTTCACCGGTCGTGTTCCCTCCTGGATCCCCAGGCACACAGGAGGTGCTCAGCAAACATGTGTAGAATGAATGAACCCTTGGTGTCTGGCATACAGACTTTCAGTAAACGAATTTATTCCTAGTTAATCATTTTAACGGAATCATCTTAGAAGCTTCGCAAGAGAGAAGCAGACCTTTGCCCCGCTACATGCTGGGTCCTCTTCTCTTCCTAGCCATCTACTATTCACAATTCTTCCCAGGGTACCTTCCCTCCGGTTGTAGGAATGGCAACCTCAGAGAAAAGGCCAGGAAGAAGATCCCAGGCCCAGCTGGAGACCCAGCCTGGCGGGCTGGCTTGCTCAGCCATGGCCACAGCGTGCTACACATCACCCTGATGAATCCCTGCAGCTCTGATTCCAGCCCCTGCCTGCCCCCTCACTATTTCAGCTGAGGCAGCAGTAGGGACCACCCCAACCCTGGACCTCCACCCAGCATTTCCAGCAGCTAAGAAGAGCATCATACACCTAGGGTGTGGGGAATGTCATCAAGAGGGGAAAACACATCCTCAAAACATCCCCATAAAAGCACAAATCTGTGGATAAGGGAGGAGGTCGGATATAGGGAGTCAGGGAGGCCGGCCAGGGAGAATAGCCGATACCCAGTGAGGAGATGAAAGCACCCACGTCCTCTCCGTGGGTCTTGCTAATCATCCAGAGAGGACCTGTAGGTCAGCGGAAGCTTGCTGCCTCCTTCTCTCAGTGCCGTGAGGCTCTGGACGCCTGTGCATCTCGTGGCTCTCAGGCAGAGGAACATTCCCCTGCCCTACGCAGAGAATGCACGTTCTGTTGTCTTTTAGACACATTTTCCAGTCCCAGGCCTATGACAATGTAGTGTGACGGAAGTCGGGGAGGCGGGTCGTCGCTGAGTCAGTCAAAAAATACCTATTGAGCACCCCAATGATGGCGGATTGGTGTTGATGGGCATGAAAGAGAGAGTGTGGGGTGTAGGGTCTGGAGGCAATATTATCTTTGAATTGCATTTGGAGATGGTTATAAAGAGTAGATGCCAAAGAAATGCATGCGTATGTTCTCCAAAAGCCATGTGCGCTGAAATTCACAGCAGCACTTTCATGGAGGCCCCAAAACTCAGCCCAGGTGACGCCCACATCGAAGTGAACACACCCCGGCTACTCGCAGCGACGTGGATGAACCTCTCAAACGTTAACACTGGACCAAGGAAGCCAGGCAAAAACGACACCAGGATGATTCCTCTTACACAAAGTTCAAATTGTGATGAAACAAATCTCGACGGGGGCTGGGGGGCGGGGCGTCGAGTGACCTATTCCGTAACCCAGGCGGTGGTTACAGGGGTCTCTGTGACGGAATCCATTAAGCTCGGTACGCTTAGGGTTGGTCCGCTTGGCCTGTATACTTGCAGGTCTAAATTTTAAAGGGAGGAGGGAATGTAAGGCCTTGAGGTTTCCCCAAGGTTTTCCGCAGAGAAGGGCTGCTGCACCCGCGAGCCGGCAGGTGGGCAGGGAGGCGGGCGAAGAGCGCAGCTACGGACTGAGATTGGCAGTGGGCGCACGGAAGCCGCGAAGCCAGGCGGCCACAACCTCGCCCGGGGCTGCGCCGCCTCCGCCTCCGCGTCCTGCGTTGCTTGGCAACCCGTCTCCTAGGCGACGTGAGACGCTGAACCCAATGACCGAGGGTGCCGGGCGCTCCAAGACCCCAGGCCCCATGGCGCAGAAGCCCATCAGCAGGGCCGCGGCCGAGCGCATGAACCTCGTGGCCCAGGACGAGATCTGGTAACGCCCGGGAACCGGGAACCCAGTGGGCTGGGCCGTTCGCACCTGAAGTGTTCAACCTGGCGGCCTCAGCTTCCCCGCCAAGTCCTGGAGGTGATCGACCTCTGGGCGCGAAGAGCGTGCCCTGGAGGTGGTCGGGGGCCTTGCGGAAAGGGAGCAGTGTTAGGGACGAAAGAGCCTTTCTTTCTCTTTTCTTAGGCACACCACAAAGGCGTGAAAGATTTTGCATCTGGCTTTGCAACCCGCTGCAAAGCTTTGCTTGTTGAGATACGACTGATGTGTGCTTATTTTTAATACTTACCAAATGTTTAAAAAATCTTAATGTTCATTCAGTTCGAATGAGAGCACTTCACATTCTCTCTTGCTTGTCCTGGTTTTTGAACAAGAAGTTTTAATTTAAAGAATAGATCCATTTTCTAAAAGATTTATGTTCAGCAGACATCTGTAACGGATGTTTTTATTTGGCATTCTATCCCATTGCTAAATCGTATCCCATCTCTTTGAAGTTTTAACGGGTATGGGAAGTTACTAATTTAGATGCAAGTAAGTAAATATTATAGCAACAACAAACCGTCATGGCTCACCTCTTAAACTTCAGTTATCCTATCTCTGTGACTTTTACCATTTCCTTGAAAACCCACTTCATATTTTTCTTTAAATTAGCTTTGTTTCACTTAATGAACTTATTTTTATAGGAAACTTTATATCACTCTTGAAAATGGATAGCCAGTATTATTTGCAATAAATACATGCTATTTTTATTTTTTAAATCTTTATTTTTATCCAAGTACCCACTATAGGAAATACTACCTAGCAGGGTATTAGCAGGGTGTGTTCCCTCTGCCTAGAATGCCCTTTTCTCTCTTCCCCCACCTAACAAACTCCTACTCATCCTTCAAGACCCAAATCAGATGGCCCCTCCTGTGTGAACAGAGCCAATTAAGCCCTTAGACTGTTCTGTCCCATGTCCAAACTTGAACACTTGAAACGTGATTATTCCAAATTGGGATGAGCTGTAAATGTAAAATACTAGATTTCGAAAACTTCATGCCCCTAAAAAGTGATACCAAAATTAAGTTTACCTGTTTATTTTTACTTTTTTAAAAATGTGGCTCTAGAAAATTTTAAATTACATACATGGCTCATATTTTTGTCTCATGTTACAGCTCCCTTGGAAATAGACTCTGCTTTAGATGCTCAGTGCCCAGGGAAAGA